AAAAAAAAAAAAAAAGATACGCGCGTTGTATTGCGATTTCTATATTTTACATTCTTCCTCGTATCCGTACACTCCTGCTTGTTCTTCTCTTTCAATCCGTTGTCCTCGGGCAAGAGATTGCCATTTTAACCGACAATAGCGAGGCGTCCATAGCCAGAGACGAAAGAAGTAGCGCTGCTTCCGGTTTCAGAGGAATGGGAGACCCGCAAGAAGAAGGAAATAACTACCACCAGGCAGATAGAGACCAGAGTGAAGAGGCAAGTGGTGCTGGAAGATGGCGAGGTAGTCGTCGACTCGGGCCCTCTTGTCACCACCAACACCACCGAGGATGTCGAACAACAAGAACACACCACCCAAGAGGTAAGTTACCTCGGGTAACTTTGTTTGGGTCAGATAGACGCAGACCCTATCGCAAGATCAGCCACGGAGTTGTAACATAAGTTTACATAGAAAACTGTAACTAACGATGCATTATTAGATATTTGGAAATTAATTCTGTGTCTTTATATTCGATCATTTAAGTTCGTTTAGACATATTTATTCGTCATTCTGTTACGTTGAAGTGCCAACCTTCTAATTTCTCAGCCTGATTTCCATTGTAATGAATTTATGTTAATTTTAGAACGTTCGGGGTGTAATATCCCTGAGGCGAATTCAACAGCTCCCAGATGGTGCTTCCTGTGTACAATGGGCGAATATATTTTATTCCAGAGACGAACAACAGGTGATCAGCCGCAGGAGGTCGAGTGGCCAGGTGGACGAGGGCCCGCTGATGACGGTAGCGTGGTGCAAAAGGAGTTGAACGAGACGGTGGTAAGGAGCCGCGAGGAGATCGAGGAGAGGCTCGAGACGGAGGATCGCCAACAGCTGGGGGACATCTCTGACGAGGTACTACTACGCGACAGGTCACAGAGTAGTTTTACAGAGGCGAAACTCCTGCGTTTCTCGATAGGAAAAATCAACCCTCTCGAGAGTTTAATTTTAAATGGATTTGTTTGTTACTTTAATCGATTACACACATACCAAAGCAATCTTCATCCGAAATTCGTTTTCGACATGTAAATTAGGCAGGAATTAGGCTGTCTCGCTTTGGTATTGTATATTTTGTAATTCTAAAAGATATTGTGCTGGCAAATAACAGTAAAAGGTTCATCGAAATAGGCTTTCTTGCGTATTAATTTTAATCTGGAAATACAATGACAGAAACATCAAAGGAACCGACAAGAGATTCGCCTCTGTAGAATTACTCTATAGACACACCCACGTCTAAATTCCACCTGCGCGTGCCGCTGTGGGACAGAGTGCGCGCACATGGATTGTTTCTCTCGTTTGGCGCGGCTTTAAGCGCCACGAAAAGGTCAGACTGCCTTTCGCGACGGATCATCGTCCCACGTGCAGCCTCTGGTTTACTCTAGACCTGTGGTGGAATGTATTGGGATATGCGTGGAATGTGTGTGGACTGTACGGAGTGTTTGCGGAGTACCTGGAAAAAGGCAGAAATACACTGTATTTAATGCAGTGGCGGGCAAAAGGATGTTGAAAATTGTACGTTTGGTCACGATGTTAATACTCATATAGGACATCACCTCCGTAGGCTCGATATTCATTTCCGAGATATTTCGGTTTAAAGATTTTTCTACGTGTTCTTAAGAGACTGATATTCTTTTTCTTTTTTATTTCAATTTTGTATCATGGAAATATACTTTTTATATATATTATGTACTATATACTGTGTATTATATATTGTCTTACGGATATTTTAGGATTAAAATTAATTTTTAACGTAATTAATTAATTAAAAACACCGTTTTAATTATCTATTTCACCACGGTGTTCTTATATCGTTGTGCTGCTTTGGAAATATTTTTCTGTGTGAATTCTTCGTAGCAATGGTTTCGACGCAGAAAAATATAAGGACACTATAGTGAAATAATTAAACATTCATTTTAATCTTAAAATATACGTAAGGTAATATATAATATACTGTTATATCCCGTTAACAGAATGGAACAGGCGCGATGCGGGTTATCCTTGCACCCAAGTGATTATCCAATCCCCCTAATCGCCGCATCTTCTCCGTTTAATGCCTCCGTTGGTATTCGTTTCGCGTTGTCTTCTATATAGCTGCGAACGTGGTGGCCTGCGCGTGGCTCTATCGCGTCCAATCCACTTTCCCTTTCGCGAACGAGCCGACACCTCCTACGATCGCGAAAAGAGGAGACTGACAAGTAACGAAGCGGAAGAGGAGTCGGTTTCAAGAGACGCAACAGGTGCATCCTGTGCCCGATCCTATTTGTCACGGGCGGTTATCATAAATCTGCGGTTAACGGGTCCGACGGCTGTAATGGCACCTTCCTCTCGCCAATGAGATTTCCTCGAAGCACGGACGGACCCGTCGACCGTAAAGAGGATTCTCCGTAAAGGTTGAGCACGCTTCCTTGTGGCACAGTAACATTTCGTGCCCCGATGATCGTTGCGCTGGGAGTGGAAGAAAAGTCTATTCCGCAGGGAAAGAAAGATTTATCTTTCGTTAGAGGGAATCGAGAAACAATCGGTTGTAAACTGTAATTTCAATTAGCGATTAATAGATTTCTCGTATATTAATTGTTACATCCATTCGTATGGTTAGATGACGTGCATTCCGTGGGATAAATATTTTGTGAGAAAATATGCTCGCACGCGGAGACATCTTGCGTAAGAACAAAACACTTTGCACGGAGAAAAATAATCCTCACGGTTCGAGGAAAAAAATTTATTCGTCACACACAATCTACAGGAAATACAGGTCTCGTATCCAGTGGCATTCGAAATTCACACAAACGTAATTCAGAATAAAACACACGTTACACTCAAAGAAAACACATGTCGCCCAGAAATACACACATTCTATAGGAGAAAGACACACTTTATTTGATAAAAATCTACATTACACGCACGGAATACATACACTACGCGAATCTCCGCGTTTCCTGCAAAAAGACCACTCATTTCGCACAAATCACAAGAAACACACACGTATTCTATTGGAAGAAAACGTACATTACACAGAAGAACATACATTTTATTAAAAAAAAAAAGAGACACATTTCATTCACAGGAACGCATATATCACACAAGGGGCATACACATGTAAAAAAGCACACGTTTCACAAAAAAACCACAAATGAAACGCACATTCTACTAAAAGAAAACACATGTCAGCCCCAAAAAACACGCATTTCGCAGAAGAAAGACACATCTTATTCGCGAAATGCGCTTTGTGCTCAAGGGACACACGCATTTGTCCACTCGAAACACAAACATTGCACACGAACACCAGTCGAACGTCACACGAACACATCTTCCACACTGAATATGGGAATGGCGTGATCCCGCGTGGAAATGACGCGAAAAAGAAATTTCCGATCGGAGAATAGGAAAGCATCTAGCTTCTGGAGTGTTGCAAAAGCTGGCCAACAGGTATACGGTGTTCGCGCACGAACGATTCGGATAACGAGGAACCCCGATCGTTTCGTGTGAAGAGGAACGAGAGGAGAGCCAGGATCGAGAAGTGGGGACAGACGAGGAACGATACCTGGCAAACTACGTAGAACGAAAGGAGACGAAGGGAGAGAGAGCATCGTCGAGTAGTGGAAGTCGATGATCTCGACTTCGCTATCCCTTCACCGAATGGCGACGAAGCGGCCGAGATGCCGCGAGATCCCAGTCACAGCAGCTGTTCCGCGCTGAAGTATCTTCAACGGTCGCGCAACGGGCACAGAGATGGGCAAAATTTGATTTTGAAACGAATTGGCAACGTGCAGCTATCCATTCACGACGTTTATCGAACGGTTCAACAGTCGTTAACAACAGTCGTTAACAACTTAAAGAATTACATTTTTCTACGGACGATATCGTATTTAATCTTGTCTCAGCTTACTCGTATTGGCGTATTCGATAGTCCGTTAATTATACCAAAGAGCTTGTAAATCGTCGTTCGTTTCCGTTGTGAAATGTTACGAATGTTTATGTTATATTTTAGTTTATCGTAAATTGTCTCATTTTTCGCGTTCATGTTTCCTTCGTGTTTAACGTAGTTCGAAATCTGTGCACGGATTCGAATTTTGCCCATCCCTGCTGAACGGGGATTCCACGGCCGATTGACCGCGTTCGCGATAACGTTCGTCGTCGTCGCGCTGTCCCGCTGGTTGACTTCAACGGATATGACTTCACGAGCTCGTCCACCAGGCGACGTATCCTTGTCGCTGTGGCTGACCAGTGTACGACGACCTATGCAGTGTTTTGAGATTCTCGTGGACGTCTAACGATCAAGACCGTAGGCTGATTTCTCGTAATTCCGATTTCCGTGTAGTTCTGTGATTATCCTTGTTTCGTTGCGATTAGGGTTGTGGTATGAGGATCTCGTGGTAAGTTGGTATCGCGCGTGATACATTGGTCGTTTTAGAAGAATCGTAGAATTCTTCTTTGAATCTTGATATCCACTGGAATATTTGTATCAGATAGGCTAATATTTGTTCGCGTTAAAAATGGATTTCTTATTAATTTATCATCATAGAAGTAATGGTAATATGTGCTGATTACGCTGACCGTTTCGAAGAGGTCATGATGTTACCGACCATTTCTTATCAGTTCTTTGAATCTTGATTCATTACCACAATAGATGTTTAAAGTTATACTCATTTAGTTATAGATCACTTATAGATCATTTTGGAGGAATTGTAGTCCCATTGTCGGTTCCTTTTTCCAACACACGAAGCCTGAATATTTACAGCCTCGTCTATGATTTTTATGTCGTTAACTTTTAACCTTCGGTCTCTCGAAAACTTACCCAAGTTGGCCAGACAAATTTCTTTACCTTCCTCCTCTGCCGTAACATTTTATTCATAAGAAGATCGAAATCTCGCCGCATTCAATTGGACGCCGTAAATGGGAACCTTTGTCCCCCTATATTATGAAACGATTTCGCGTAACCTAATCATCGGAGCGTTGGTATTATCGCGCTGACACTTGCGCCGAATCTTTCACAATCATCGTCAGCCTCGTTTTATTTTTACCTTGCCAAGCGGAGTGTCGTGACCTCAACTGCTGGAAACACCTTTCCTTCCACTTGTCCGTCGAGGGGAGCCTGACCGAAGGCCAGAGGATCCGGTTTATCGCGACCAGATTTCGGGACGTCGACTGTTCCACTGTGTTGACCAGGCCAACAGTAATTAATCTGGTTTCAGGCGTACCAGAAGGCGGTGAGAAGCAACAGGGGCGACCTGAGGGTGGCTCTCGCCGAATCCTGTAAGCAGTTGACGTCCCAAATTGGTCCCAGAGTCGTTCAGCACACGACCAAGTCGAACAAGGTTATCGACACGGAGAAGACCTTGGAGAAGAAGGAACTGAAACCCGACGGGCTGATCGTCACCGAGAGGAAACGGACCGTCGAGCACGAAGAGGTAGCTGGGAAACTCGATTTTGGTCTTGCGACACCTGGGTTGGTGATCGATAACGTTAAGAGGGAGAATATTAATGAATTATGAGTTTAGAGTAGAGATAATATAACGAAATGACGGTATGATGAAGTGACGATACGACAATGTGACCATGTGACGACAGAATAAACTGTTGACATGACGACGTAGCAAAGTGATAAAATGACAAAGTAATTGTACGACGAAATAACAAAATATCCATCTGACGAAGCATGTCTTGCCCTCTGACATTTCTCTCAGGTGTCGAGGACTATATCGAATTAAGATGAGTTCTTTACAACGTCCACTGATTGCAGATAAAAGACGACGAGGTCCCCGACGACGGGAGCGACGCGAACGGGGACGACGCGTCGGAAAAGAAGAAGGAGAGCTCCCATAGGTTCGTCAAGAAGAGAGACGAGGACGTGGTCGATTACATCTCGGGTGGCGAGAGGGTCGCCCGAGAGATGCGCTACGTCGCCGAAACCACCGAAGGGGAACGTATAGGCGATTGGACGCCATCGCCAACGGCCATGCGAACCACTCGTTTCCACAAGCATCCTGGTGGGTTCCTTCTGGATGATGGTTTTTTGAAAAATAACACAATTTCGTTAAGATGATAGGAAAAAACAGACAGATAATCTGAATTGTTTCCAGACAAATACCGAAAATATACTCACAAGATGTTTAACTGTCGCAGGCTTTCCCGCAGAGGGCTTTCCGGCGCGAAAAGACGTGTTGACGAAGAAGCCACTGGACCTAGAAGAGGAAGATGAAGCGAGGAAGTTTGAGACGTCCAAGTGGTTGGAAAGTCACTTCGGCAGCGAGTCCCGTTCCTCTCACGGTTCCATCGAGGCCGACGAGTCCCCTCTGCAGACCAGCAACACCAGTTACATCAACGTTACCATGAAGTCCTGCCCCTCTAAAGAGCGCGATTACCAAAACGTGACCTCTAACAGACATCAGCGAAGAAGCACTGGCAGAGACTCGGCGTCGCCCTCGGGATATTTTCATGGGATCAGCGAGTGGTCTGAAAGATACCAAGGAAGAGGTAGGATTTATTCACTCCGTAAAATGTCACATCTTTGGAACTTCAGGAAAAAATAGTTTTATTTCGTTATTTAGAGAGGCAGAATCACGGAAGAACGAGCTCCCCGGCGCAGTACGTGGAACCAGTTCAAACGAACGGGCATGCGCATGATCACGCGAGGAATCAAGTCCAGGAGTCCACGTATTCGAGGACGTACGAGTCCGTCCTTCGACGGGAGCACCAGGATTCCTACGAGAGACAGTGTACGCCCTCCCCGCCAATCAGACGAAGATCCAAGGAGCAGGTGTGTAATAAAATTAATAAAATTATTTATTCGAATTTCTCGATTTACAGAATCAATCTACTTCACCGTTCTAACGGAATGTTTTCCTTCCTTAAATTTGTAGTACCGTTGTTGTTACGTTAGTAATATGAAATCTTGAATCAAGGTTTGATCAGATTCCTAAAAATTTTTCTTTTACAAAATGAACTACACCAATGGTGTTGGTTTCAGTGGTCTACGAGATCCGAAGAAAGAACAAGCGTGAATGATTCCGTGCCATGTCGCACCGCAAGTCCGATTCACGTGGTACAAAGGACTTGGGAGAGTCGCAGTCGAGACGTCCAAGAGCAACCAGTGGAACGGGAGAACCGTAAAAAGTCGATCTCGAGATCTAGATCCGCTTCACCCAAACCAGAGTTGGCCCCGCGTGAAAAAAAGATCTCCATCGAGACTTCACCTCCAACTCGTCCTGCGAAGAGTTAGTTTTTAAGGCATTCGCACAGATCGGACAATAGTCCCAGCCCTGTATGACAGTACGGAAGCGATTCGTTTAATCAGTAATACATTAATATCGCATCTTCTAGGTTCGGGGCACTCCAAGTACAAGATTGGCGAGTCGTTCAGGAAACTGGTCGGAAAGCTGCGTTCCGCCAGCTCTGAAAGGAAGAACAAACGCGCAAGTAGCAGTTCTACCTCCCAACTGACCCAGACGGACGACAACGGACCCACTTATCTCCAGTACAACGTAATCGATAAGAACATCCCTTTGGTCCATGAAAAGGACGTCGAAGAGAAGCCTCCTGAACGACCACCCAGGTCTCCCAGAAATGCCACAGTGAACAACAATGCCAACAAGACGACAAAAGTGGTCAGGACAAGCGACCACGTAGCGCAAGAGCAATGGCAGCGCAGCGAATCGACGCCACCGGTTCACAGGTATTACCTTGGAGAGGATCCTTTCGGTGGGAGCATCTATGGGCGCGAAAAAGGCTACAGGGACGCGAGACGGTCGGCGAAGACGCGCGGCAGGACTACCGCTGAGATGGAGTACAGGTAACCAAGCCACTAAAACTGGCATATTGAATTCAATATGCCCGGACGAATACTTCTCAGCGTGTCCAGACAAAATGCTTCCGAGGGCAGTTAAGCTACGCCTCTCGCGGGCAAAGGAACTCTGATAGGGGACAATGAACGGTACAGACACGTAACGAATTGTACAGATCAATGCCTTATACATCGATCAGTCGCACAGGATCTATGTGAGATACGAACGACAACTTAAAAGGAAAAATAGATTAAAATCGTCTGCATGTTATCACTTCTTGAAAGAACCTACATACACCTTTGCTTCACTACTAGTATCAGTGATTGAGAGTTCCTGGTCTCATCCCTGCCACTACTCTAAAACTCTTATCAGACTTGTTGACCTACATAGAAAAGAAATTACTTGCTAAGATGTGAAATGGGTGTGAGACTTCGTTTATCTTTGTCCGCGAGAGACCTGGTCAGACCATGCCTGTACTAAAAACAATAGACAGCTAGCTGGAAGCGTGTGCGTCAGCTCTGCGGTTGTGCAAGCTAATTGCAACGCAAACGACGGTGTAGCGTTGCTCGACTGCGAAACGAAGGCGTGTACGAGTGTCGATAAACGTAAGCCGACGTAGGTTTATGCAATCGTCTCCTGAAAACGGTGTGCTTCGCTTGCCCGAATGGTGTTCCTAGAGGAAAGTCGATCGCTTCGACTGTGGGTGGAGGCTGCATGTGTATTGTCTCTATGTAGTAGGACGGGTCACCGGCTATATGGGCGCAGAGATGGGCAATGTGTACCTTAAATAGTGACCGAACGACGAATACCCTAGTGATCTGTATTCTGGTAAAAGATAAGCAAAGATTTAAGTTAAGACTTATTGTGTGAAGTGCATAATCATCTTATAAGATTTAACCCTTTCAACCCTAGTGAGACATACATACATGTCTCAGTGAATATATCAGGTTGCCATTGATCCAATTAAAATTGAGAGTGAGCTCTTTAAGAGTGAGCATTCGATATTTGTCATCTACAGAATATAATTTGTCAGGTTATTCGTCGCTTGGTGTATTTAATGTACGCAATGAGCCCAGAAACAGTTGTCTACTACCAGCGCCTCTAGCAATGAAACCGTGCAGTAAATATACGCCCATCGACTGCTACATTGGTCATTCGATTTTACTTATTTTACCGGCGTACTGCTGGTAAATTATCATATAATTGTCCGCCTGAATCACTATGCAACAAACACGATACGAATTGTAAGAGTAATAGTTGATTCATCATTTTTTCGCAAATGGCGCTAGTAGTGGGAATGACTATGTCTAAGCTCATTGTACATAGCGGTCCATTAGAAACTGGACAGCTTGATATCTTCGCTATTTCAAACGGTAAAAATAAGTGTTGGAAATAAACGTTGCATGATTTTTAATGGGGCATAATGTAGCGACAATAGTTTCCTTGCGAGTATTGATATAATGGAAACTACGAATTTGGTTGTTGTGCCGTCGAGATCGTTGATTTTACAATAATATAATAACAGTTATAGCTAATACTTCCTCAAATTAAGTGGTCTAACCTTTTTTCGTCGAAGCATGAGGAGCAACTAAACAACATTTTACCTGAATTGAACATAAATAACAAGAGTTGTAGGTAAGTCGCAAACACGCGACTTTTGAATTTTACTTATATAAAATGGCGAAGATACCAAGATGCTCTGCATCTGTTAGACCACCCTGCGCATTCAGTATCGTAGATGCATATCGATCGCAAAATCATTCGAGTGTGTTCATCTCTGTGTTGGAAAACGGGAGTCAATTGTCGAATGTCGGCGCGGTTTCAGCGTTGCGTCCAGCTCCCTCGGCAGGTTTAGCAAGTCCACCGGTCGACTGGCCAGCGACCACGAAAGGGAGGATCACTTTAGGAGCACCCAAACGTTACCCAGGAACCTGCACTCCGTCGGACAGTCGGCTCGATCGCAATCCCGCCCGACGTCGCGACGTCAGTACCTTTCGTCCACCCCGACAAAACAGCCAACTGCCGTACCGTCGTCGAGCCAGTCGCGTCGGTACGGCAGCATGATCAACATCTCCATTAAGAACACGGTGACGTCACCGAAACACGCCGTGCAAACCAATCTCCAAGCTCCCGCAAAACCTGAAAGAACTTACAAGTCCACCCTGTCGCGCAGTAAAAGTTTCAACGTCGAGGCTGCTAGGAACGGCTTGGAAACACCCCCACCGAGGATACCGTACACGTCCAACTTGCAGTTGAATCGATTGAACGAGACGCCGCCCCTGAAGAGCCCGGGCATCTTAGCAAGCATCAGTCGCAGCAACAGGGACCTGATAAAGGACACTAGACACGAATACTGAATCGTTGTTGCACCTAACGTTTCGATTCTTAACAAATAAACCAGCGACCAAGAGAAACATACCATTCTAGAACGATACAGTAGAGCAATTCTAGTGTCAATTTATTGAATTAAACAAAAATTGCCTATTTCGCTTCTATGTTGGACGCCATTGTTCTAGAATCCTGAATTTAAGAAGACTTATCACTAGACTGTGGATTTTATGTATTTATGACGTATAGCAATATAGAAAACATACAAATCCTTAAATGATTGTCGTAAAAATATTTAATTACAAGTCATAAACGTAAATTGATATTCGGGAAAATCTATTACCGCGAGACATACAGAAATCAAAACAATAGAATTGCGTATCGCTTGCGCTTGCTTCAGTTCATCAAAGAGGCGGGATGATCACATATGATCACATATGATCCAGCACAAAAACTATACATCATATATATTAAATATATTCTACAATTAACATAATACTATTGATATTTTCTTTTGTATAATTGCACATACCTTTTGGTTATGTTTAGCATGTATTGATTATATTGGCTTGTATCATAAATGCATAAAATTCGCAGTCTACTTATCACAAGGACTCCTTACAATGTGTTCTACAAAACTATACAATTTAAAAAAAATAATGTGTTCTCGATAATGTAAGAATGAAAGTTCCATGACAAAAAGATAGAAATGAACCTAACCTTACATTACACCATCGCTTTCTAGATTTCTCGAAACTGGATTAAAAAGGTCATTATATTTGTTTCGTCGACTATATGTATATTAGTTGGGACCAAGTCAATCGGCCGTTCGTGGTTGCTGAAATGATAGGCCCCTACTATATCGCCCTTTAAAAAATTCCTACAGCTTAGTATAACATAAATAAATATATGTACAAAAGTTTAAGCTTTTGTTCGGTAGTTTACTCGATTGAAAATGTTTAAATGTTCAATTTTGACGAGTGCAGGTTAAATTGAGCCCTTAAAGTAAACTTCGAATTTAATTTATCACTCGCAAACCAGGGGTTGACCTTGAATGGCCACTAATTTTCAATGCAATTTAATTCAAGTCGAAACCATTATGCGGGTATTGATTATTACAGGAATGACTTTAACAATAGTCTGTATAGTGTACAATAACGTTATCGCTGTCTATAAACCACTATATTGATTGTTAGATTGTACTTTATTTACATAACGCTTGATGCGAGATTTAGTTTCCTTTATTCCGCACACCAGGTAACAATCCAAGATCACATATCAAATTAATAGAGAGGGACGAACAAGAGTTGGAAATTAGTTGTTAACAATGTTTTATTAAATGTTACGTTGAATTGTTGCACGTAAACCAAGATTTGTTTGCATTTATAGCATTTATTTCAACAAGAGATATATCAAAATAGTGCATACAAACGTCGTGGATAAAATGTGTAAAGTATTCCTAAATGGAGCATTGTAGATCGTAAGTAAACTATATAAAAACAATAAATGGTAGATTTCTAAGGGTTCTTCTTCACAATTGACACGAGCAAATTTTCTGTTTCGTAAAAATCAATATTTAATTTGACTTCTTCTTCTTGTTTTTATTCTTATTCGTGCCATTTCGAGATAGTTTCCGATGCTTCTTGACGGCGAGTATTAAAATAATAGCGTTTATTATGTAAAGACTAACACAGATTACGCAAATGTTATTTTGCATGTACAAAATGTAAGCCAGGTAAATCGTTGCGAGGTTCGAAGCAACTGCTAATGCTACGACGATAGCCGAAGTGGAATATTTATTAATCGTACCTAAAAAAATTGTTTATTAAAATTTTATTACGAAAATAATAAGCTGCAATATCTATGAATAACAAAAAAAAAAAACAACAAATTTCATATAAGGCGTATCGATTTGTCAACAGAGACATACATTTCCGATCTGAACATGTAACATAAACAATTTTGTAAGTACTTATTGTAAACTAATAATCATGTTCAATGAAACAAAAATATTTCGATTGGGTTTGGAAATTTAATTAGCTCGTAAAGATTTTGTTTCTAGCAATTTTTAAATTTTGCGCGAATTGACTTCAAGTCGTGTAACCACATCATAGTAAAAACGTGAACGTAATACGTACTCAGTGCCCCGACCAAAGTATAAAATATTAATCCGTATACGGAGTTTAACATATATAAAGGAGATGACTCCGGAATTATTCCGAATCCTTTCCCGTATCTGTAATAAAACCTCGTTTAATACATTGCAATTTATACATGTACAAGTTAATTCGATTAGTAGGATTTATTATTTAGACGCTTAAAAATAATTTATCGTTCGATCTGAATAATATTTTATAGCTTCACTGTTCGCAAACGGTATTCGTAATTATAATTCGAAAGGAAAATAATTTCCGACCAATCGAATCGTTCAATGAATTGCAACGGAAAACTTGTTGGTCAATTTTCTACAACAGTGCACAGATCTCAGTCCAGTATAATATAAAGTTAAAAACAAATCGAGAAACACAAATGAAAACATATAGAATGTATGTAAATAAGTTTATACCACAGAGTATGAAAAGTTAAGACTTCTTAAAACTTTTTGAATAAACTTTACATGTTAAGGGACAGTAAAGCTTGTACTCGTGTGGCAGTCCCTTTAAGTGAAAATACTCTATATCAATTCCACGAAATTAATTTTCGAATTCGAAAACTTGTCTGTGGGAAATATTATCTTACTCTTTTTGTCCCAGAAACGAAAACAGTTGTGCACCACTGCTTCATTGCGCAAACTTCACTCTACTCAATTCGACACACCGTACCGTGCACACTTTGAATTGTCAAAATTATGGAAACTTACTCGGACAGAAATGCTTTCGTGCAACTAACGCGTTCGCTAATGTCACACATCGCTTCGTACGAATTATCCTCCTCTTTAGCGATTCCCAAAACGTAGGCATAGTAAGATGCGGCAAATCCTAGGACGCATGCCAACGTGATTCCAGTGTCTATTTTCCACACTGGTCCTTTAGTAGTAGACATAATTCGATAAACTAAATAATAACACTCGAAATATATAAAATTGTTCACGTTGCTTCCATGCGGTTGACTTTCCTCGCTTAACGATAATTTTGTAATCAATCACTGGTCGAATTTCACACAGAATTTCACAAACGTTAACTCACGTTGCTCGCCGCGGTCGCAAATAATACGGATGCGGCGATCGATAATCAAGCGACCATGAAAAGACCAGTGAGATTGAACGTCGATGATTTCACACGAGTGTTTTCTTCTGCAACGAGTTAGCTCTTTATCTCACACCCTTTGGACAGTTATCGTTATTCCGATAGCATATGAATTGATTTTAGGAAACACTGCACGTAAACATGTTGGGCTTTATTTATTTCTATGAACGTAAGATATTTATATCAGCGCATTTACGTGCTTTAGAACGACGTTCAATATTTTCAATTTAGAGAAACATGAACCAGATAAATTGGAATACATTATTACTTAAAATTTGTACAATGCTTACAAGACTTTTAAATACATTTTTCCGGTGTTATTCTGATTGAGTTTAATGTGATTAAAGACGAAATGTATGTTTCGTAACTATGTCGCGTTTCATCCTCTTGGTGGTATAATTTGCATAGTAAATACATCGCCTTGGGGACTTATCGTTAATTGTCACTAAATCTTACGGATTAAATTTTTTTACCTCATATATTAATATCTATTCACGGTAAGGAAACAAATTATCATCGAAGAACGTGTGGCTGAAAAGAGTTAACACAGTAGTACACAAAATTTATCAAAGAATCATTGTTTTTTCTTGTGACTTTAACGTAATGTATGTTTATAAAGAATATTAGCGATTACATGCGAGGACTATATGACACAAACAAAAATGCAGATAAAAGTAAATCAGCTACGTCGTATACTAATGTTACTTATAAAAAAGATAAGAAATGTAGATTGATATCAGAATACGCTATAGATATAAAATAACCACTTTATATAGTTGGAATATTAGAATTTAGAAAGACATAGTATAGATTTATTCCTGTGGAGCCATTGCCCTAGCCTGGGCTTTGACACGTTTCTCATATTCCAAACGATTTTGACTGTAATAAGAGAATAGAAAGTAGTAATTGAGGGAGTACTTATGTCTCAATTAGGTTTGAAACTTATGTAAAATAAAAGTAGTACCAGTATATTGTATATGCCTCTGCTTGAGCTGGGTCTTTTACATTAGGTTCGTTCAGTAAATCCTGTATACCGAGCAAGATCTGTTTGATAGTAATAGCAGGCCTCCAATCTTTCTCTTCGTCTAAGAGTGACAAACACACCGTTCCCGAAGGATAAACGTTCGGATGAAATAAGGGAGGTTCGAATTTACATTTTGGAGGACTGGATGGATAATCATCTTTGAAGATCATTCTCAACTTGTACAATCCACCTTCCCATGGTGTCTATGAAATTGAATATTTAGACAGCATGGTTAAAAAGTTGATGATAACCGAGACAATTTCAATAACAACTTACAGATTTCTTTCCGGGTATTGCACATTCCCAACTCATCAAATTAAGAGTTCCATCTTGATTTTTAATTGGTCGTGCTACAAACCCCTGTGAAACAAAAATTCAGGTTGTAAATATTTGACTTTTACCATAACAAGACATAATCTCAGATTCAAGGATAATAAGAAAAAGTAACTGTTGGTCATTTTCATTTTAATATCAAAATCTTGCAGCAACTAGCTATAGATTTTTGTCTGTTACATATAGCTCTAGTTAAGTTACATGATACAATCTCTAACCATGAAAGTGTTAATACTGTAAGTATGGAAGTAACTCCATTACTATCTCCAGATGTGTATGCAATCAAATAAGTTTAGTAAGAATCAAAAAAAGTTAAATTTACTTAAAGCAAATGTTCATAAAAGGACATACAAAATTGAAGCTTGAATTTACAAGAGAACTAGTCCATTCTGCACTAAATGAAGTAGCATTTAAGTTGAGACATTCAGTTATTGTCGATTGCCACTGCTTACTGTAGGATTCAACTCTATTCTTGTGAATCGCTGAAATGAATTTTTTCTTGTAAGGAGATTATTATCATGAAAGGTACAAGAAGAGTTGAAGATCAAAGAAAAAATTAAAGGAAACATTAAAGGTGGAAAGTCTCTGATCCCAAATAAATATCAGCAATACTACATTTTCACCTTTCATATTACTAATACTTCTGCTTAGATTGAAATTTGTTACAAAACGTACTCGTTCTACTATTTTCTCATCAAATACGTCAGTTTCTTTTTGTCCTATTACGCTTGAATATAAGATAACGTAGTTATATTATGATGAAAATCGACCGTTCGCAACGGTTTTTTTTCCGAGAAACGGTCCACGCCGATATTTACGTTTGCAGTGTATATCGTCACGAATTTTGCGCGAACAAAGTGAATACTCGTGAAACGAAAAGGTTAGGATTTCAACTGGAATTGTTGTACTGCAAACGTATCTCGAGAGTCGGACAACAAACTATCGTTTCCAAATGAATCGTGTTCGAGCGATAAAAATTTATTATCCACGCGAGTTTACAGAGTGGAACGATCTGGAAATATTGTAACAACAGATTGGAAAGTAGCGGTAATCGCAGGAACGAATCATCGAGTTATGGAGAGTGAAAAAAAGCGATACAGAAGAAATCTTACGAAAGGATGATCTTTCCTCCATGCTTTTCGCTCTTCGGCGAGCCTGGCAATTGCGATGCCTGACATTAATCTGCAACAAGTATACCTACTGTTAGAGTAACGTATTTAGGCGCGAAATATAATCAAGTGGACGCACGGACGCGAATCGTGACGTTACCACAGGTGCTCGTCGATACCGATCCCGACTTTGAATTCCAGGCACTTTCTGCGCCTAAATATCATCAAATACTCAGGCGGCACAAGGGTGAAAGCGGATCGTGTATGGGGTGCGCGTTCAGAAAACTTATAGATTCTCAACTGGACTTCCTTGGAGCCACGCGGGGATCCTCAATGTAGATTCCTTTTCGCGAATGCTGGGGACCCCTCGCATTAGGGTCTCTGTTGGTAAAACAGAGTACGTGACGAACTCTGCAGAGGGAATCCAATCAAACGTCAGAACCAATTTGTCCAACTCGATGATTGGCTGGTCAATTACACGTGAGTTTTAATTGATATTACCCTAGATTTGCTGTGTGGTCCTTGTTACGTAATTTGAGTGGTCTTATCCAACTGTACTAATTAAAACAAAACTCAAATACGGAAAGTATTAATAACCAGATATTTTCTATAATAAAATTCTTAAATTATTATTTGAGTATGATATTTAACACTTATCGGACGCTAGCTTTTTCTACATGATTCTCACCAACTTGTAGTTGGTTTTGGTAAATGTACCGTCCTGCTGCCTCCCACGTGACATACGATCAGAGCGAAAAAGTTCTGTTGTCACGTGAGAGGCGACTTACGACCGATAAGGGTTAACAAAAAAAATGTAGTAGTTGTGACTACTTCAGTTGCAATTAATTATTCAAGTATTATGTTATCAAACGTAGTAGTTGTGTAATCGAGCACGCGACAACTTCGAGATGACAATCAACAGACAAAAAAACTAGCGAGGGTTGTCACATAAAACACAGGCTGTTATGCGCTTACGAGATGACAACGGAACCGACAACCTGGCAAGCATGGTTGCCGCATACTGGGGCCTGCCTGCACCTGCGAGATGGTAACCGAACTTACAAACCGGCTAGCATAGGTTGCCGCATGAAAGGGGTACCTTCGCGCCTACGAAATGGCAACCAAACCGACAAACCGGTGAGTTCAGGTTGCCGCATGAAAGGGGTACCTCTCTATATATCATGTTCTCGTAATACCAAAATGTAAAATCGGCCACAATTAGATACCTACCAGACTTTCTTGATATATAAGTAAGCAAGAGTGTAATAACTTTACAATTGTAAACAGTTATTCAACTTAATAAAAAACTGAACTGAACTGAACTGTATTACATTTTCTTTGTGCAACCTATTCGCATATTCTGTTCTCCTGATACCAAAATGTAAAATCCGACCAAAAATTGATACGTACGATGAATTCCTCGTGCCACCTCTTCGCATATAATGCGCTCCTGATACCAAAATGTAAAATCGGTCAGAATTTCGATTCGCACC